GATCTTCGTTCTTCCGCGACTTTTGCGCCAAGTAATGATCATGCCAAGTCATGCGTTACATAAATAATTTGTAAAATACATTCCAATATTCAGATGAAACGTGTCTTGTCATTTTTTAGAATGATCATCTCGGTTTTGTTTAGCAGTAAAAATCAAATATATATATATATTCATATAAAAATTATATATCATGTATATTATTGAAAAATTGTGATTAGAGATGTGTAGAATCGAGAAAATGTCGAATATTTTACATCGAGCGAGAGAAACGACCGTCTTCAATGAAAATGATGAAACACCGGTCGACTATATGATAAAACGATCGAATCTTCGCGGAGTTTTGTCGCGAAGATGCAAGAAGAAGCGGCACATAGACAGTCTTCCCCTCTGTGTCCCTTTCTATCCATTTTGTTTCCCTTTCTCCACACTCCTGATACATTCCCCTCTGCCTCTTCCCCTCTCTCTTTGGCGACCATAAAACGCGCGTCCACTTTTACGCGGCTTTTACGGTACTTAGTCGCGGCTCGTTCTCCACGCAAGAGGAAGCTTCTCCGAGGTCCATTCCTGAACGTGTTCGAGTGCAGGAAACGTACGCCACGGTATCCAGGAGCGGCGGTGCTTGCCAATGACGGCTGCTGATTCGAGGAAAATGCCGGTGTTGATCGGCGCGGAAGAGGAAGACGGGATACGGAGCACCGGTTGCTGAAGCGAGTCCACGGAAAAGTCGCTTGGATTTTTGTATCGAGGTCGCGCGAACCCTGTCAGCGAAAGAATCATCGCCGCGATTATTTGGATTATTCGGACAGCAAGTGTCCATTCTAACTGGAATACTAATCGGCCCGCGAGTGTACGAGAAAATTGCGATCGCAGATTCAGTGACACTTTGAAAGCACTTGGTTCGATGGAAAGTCAACCAGTTGCAATTGAAGATTCGATAACATTTTGACGAACGGTGTCAATGACCTGGAATTGAAGATTCGGCCACACTTTGAAGATACTTCCGCCAATCACACACGTGTAAATCGTTAAAAAACCTGTTTTGTTGTGTATATTTTCATACATTCGAAAAAAACATCGGCGAATTTCTTTCGTTAAACTATCGTTATTTAGTCTGACGAGAGGATAAGGTGGAATTGAAAAAACTTTGGAAACATTTGAATCGACAAGAAAGCTGAGATAGTTGGCTTGACCAATGACATACGTATAACCGAATCGACGAGACTGGTTTCATATAGCTGCGAAAAGAAATTGACAAATTTTTTTTTTAATTTCAAGACACAGCTACTTCGTCAAAATGTTAGAGAACGCAACCAGATGGCCAGGTAACGCGGGTTCGCGATTGGTGAAGGCTAGAAGCAGCCCAAATGTATCGAAAGCATCCCTATCGGTTCCTAGGAAGCAAGCAGTGCCCGATCAGAACAGATCGACTTGTACGAGCAAGCCTCCCCGAGTTACAAAAACCACGGCACCTCCTAGAACAACTGCCAAGATCGTCTCTAACGACCATGCCAGTGCTCGGACGGCTTTTTCCGCTGAATCGAAGACACGCGCTTCCTGTCCAAGCAAGTCTCGTCGATCGACACCAGACGGTCGGACAGAGGCAACGAAATGTTCATCAACGACCGTGAAAAACGAGAAGAGGCAAGTGACGAGATCCATTAGCTCCTCGTCATCCTGTACGATCTTGGAGGATCGAACGCTTCTGAAAAAGGGTTTGTCGTATGCTCCAACGAAATTGCCGAAGAAACCGGAAGCTCTGAGGAAGAAGGCCGCTCTCGATCGTTCGGTTAGTTTAGGCTGCGTTTCAGTGGATATTCGCGGCGGCTCCGAGGAATCTTTCAGAATGAGCAGTTCCTTTAGTTCCGAATCGAATAGACAGATGATGGAGAAAGCGAGGAAGCAGGAAATTCCAAGAAGAAAATCAATCAACAGGTCTACCAGTTTGTGGAACGTGCAGGCTATTTCAAAGAACGATGTTCCGACCAGAAGAATGTTCGGAGTTTCGTCGAGGCCCAGCAAAATCCCTCTTCTGGCGCATCGGAACACGCGCGTGGGTCGATCTCTGGCCGATCTATCTCAGGTAGATCGAGCCGTGGAGCCGACAATGCAGCCGGTGCATTTCGACGACGTCGACCTCGATCGCTCGATGGACGAACGTATCTACGAAAATTGTCGCGAAGCGTTCAACTGCACGCCGATGCAGAAGCCAGCTCGAACGTACACCAGCAATTTGGAAGAACGCGTGGCGCGACTGATGGCAGAGCTGGACGACGATGTGGATGACGATGAACAGGCCCGAGCGACGATGGTCGCGTCTACCGACTGCGTGGACGCTGCTCCTCCTCGTAGAACCAATTCCGTCTACGAGGTACGGGAGATCGATGTTAAACGAAGCAACGAGTCGAGTGTTAAGCTTATTCAATCTGAGCAATATACCGCCACGGTGATAAGGATCGAAGGGAGTTCAGAGAGGAGGGATGATTCGATGAAAAAGGTAGAAAGTAACGAGAAGAATAACTTGCAGGAGACTAGGAACACGATGAACGCGGTTAAAGGGCTGAGAAGTCGGGAGCACGAGAAGATCGATCGACAGGATGTCATCGAGGAGTCGAAGAAGAAGAAGGAGACGTCGAATATTCAGGAGTTGAGGAAGAACTGGGAGAAGCAAACGGTCAATGGATTGATCATCAAAGATGAGAAGAAGATGGATTTTGCGTCTGCTCTAGTTTGCGATACAGAACCACCGAAGACCGCTTGTCAGAGGAACAACGAGGCGAGACAGGAAGCGAAGAGCAAGCAATCGGTGGGCAAAAGAGCCAAGGAGATCGAGCATCTGGTGAATTTTTTCAACTGTAAGAACGCAGAAGCCACGAAAGAGGTGAAAGATCCGTGGATCAAGAGTCGAGCCACGCCAGACACGACGACGATCGAACCGATGACCACGTTGAAGAAGAACGTCGATGTTAAGAGCATACACGACTATAATGGGTACACGTCTGATGGCAATTGTTCGGAAGACAGTGGTCACATGAGCAACGAGAACGAGGTCGAGTGGAAAGGTGAAACTCGAGATTTTGGGAAAGAGCAGTTTTTCGAGCAAAACGAGGTTCGCGGAATCGGTGTGTACGATGGTACGTCGATCGTGAGCAGGTTGGAGCCGGAAAACAAGCCGACGATGGTCGTTCGAAGCAGCGTATCGACTTCGAGCGGTGCCAGCAGCATCGACAGCTGTAAGGGGGAGAATACGAAAGTCACGGTGCACTCTGGTAAAGACCAGTGGAAAGCTTGCAGATCCTACAACGATGGACGACAGGTCCGTCGCTTAATTATTGGCCTTCTAAACCCATTAGATACCTAGTGAGAACGATCGCTAATTTGATCGAGCATCGATAATAATTCAGCTAGTGAGAAGTCTCCACATTCGTCGATGAATTTGAAATCTTTCCTTAGTTTCAGCTTCGGATAGTTAGCTGCAAATTTATTGTCCGCTAGTAATATTCAGCTTTCATTTATTTCTTATTTCCTATCGGTTTAGAAAATTTATCTCTTTCTGCGGTATTTTTACATTTCTACAAAACTCTGGATTTTTATTTTTAGCATACGATATCGCATATGTTATTTTTTTTTTTTAATTATTCGGTATGTTATATCGCGAGAAATAAAAATGTTGTCAGTCGTTTAAATTATGAAAGTTCATGTTCTACGAGTAATAACATTAAAAATGTTTTTACGAAATATCGATCATTACTAATGCATTAAATATTAATTAATAACGTTCCGCAATATATATGTGACAGCTAGGAGGTCAATTCATTAATCAAATACCGCGGAAAAACTCGAGCAATCCATCATTTCTTCTAATCTCATGATACAATTAAATCGTATTTTTGTCGCTACCAATCGATCAACTTTCCTGATAGAAAGTGCACTTGCAACTTTCAAGCCGAACTGCTCTCATACAAGGAGAACGGCTTGAAAATGATTTATGTTAAGCGCTGTGAGAATGTTTACAAACAGTCAGCAAGATAATATTTGAGATAATAAACGTTGATTGTAAGAGTCTAAATGGGTACAATTACGCTTGCTTCAAGCACTGACTACAGCCGCTACAGTAGAATCAGAACAGAGAAGTTTGTCGTCTTCTTGACGCTGAAAAATGTTCCAGCAAACTCTTAGAGACAAATTCCTATTTGCTTTCTTTTTTTATTTTTATTTCTTACGATTACATTTCGTTACTGTAATTTATAAAACCTTTTGAGATGTAGCAGTTAAAAAAGCAATGAAATATTCGTGCTTGGAAAATTAAAGGAATGATATAGTAAATTATATTAGCTTTTATTTTGTTCTCTTTCGTTAATTCTGAATATTACAACAATCGAAAAAGTGTACGAAGAAATAATCGAATAAATAAAGTAATTGAACGATTACTAAGAAAGCAGAGACTAGGCTTAGAGCAATAGATTTTTCCATATATCAACATGGCATTTTATTGTTTAATTACGTCTGAGAGAGAGAGAGTACATTTTACCATAATGTACTTCACGCGGTATGTAATCGTGAAAATCGTGTCAGGGATATCCTCGTTCCTTTTTCTATTCTATTCTTTTTCTCGTGAGTTCTAATACATAAGTACATACCAACTGCATCAGCGCAATTTTAATGAATTCCAATGAAATGTGGTACTTGACTCGTGCATTCTGCAAATTTCTACCTCCGATCAAATTGTTCATTTATTATCGTGAACCTTAATATTTGCATAAATCAAATATTCATGTTTGTCATTTGCATAGCTTGACTTTTTACTGTTCAAAATTTACTTAATTTGCAAAAATAAAAAAAAAAAAAAAAAGAAGGAAAGGAGAAGATAGAAATGTGGAAAGAAATGATTTTTTAAAAATATATCGGTAGAATTATGTTAATTGCTAAGGGATTCTAATTACAAATTACACTGCGGTGAAAAATATTGAATACGCGTTAATCTCTCGGTTTCTTTTTGATAGATATTTTTCAGATCAGGTACTCTGGAGCGACTGGAGGCTCAGAGAGACGAGAAGCTAACTGGACACATTATTCTTCTTCAAGCAAGATGCAGGGGTTATCTGGCACGTCGTAAACTCAACACTTTGAAAGTATGCCATGACATCTTGAGTTTGTAAAAGTGCACCTTCACTTGTCAGACCGTACAGTAGTTTTCACTCGTCCCAAGAAATTTCAAAGTGGCTTCTTTATGTATTTCCGTAATGCCTTAACGAATCACCTTTTTCCCCCTTGTTTAACCGATCGGTTTCTTTCAATGCGAAGAGTTTTGTTTACTTCAGTTAGACAGCATCCGTCAGTTTCGATAGGGTTTTATTTATATTAGACACGTTTTACTTGCTTTATAAAACGAAACGAAAAGGAAACTGTAAAAAGATCTATGGAACTTTCATGGGATAATGATCGCAAGTTCCACATTCTCAGCGATAATTCCGACGCGTATTTAATAGAACGTCCGCATTATTTAATCTACACACAATATCGCACTTATTGTTCTTTCGTTTATTAATTAGGAATTCCAAATTAACTCGCCTTATCAAAGTTCCCCATCAAATTTCACCATGAAAATACAATGTTGAACATTCAAATTAGATTGCTTTATTAATGCGTACGATTAAGGAAAATTAAACCTGAAAGATCGCGATTGATTTAATTAATCGGTGAAATTAATCATCAATTTTTCATAATTACAAATATTAACACTTTACCGACCGATAGTCGATTAATCGGTTTTTTGTCGCCGACGCTTACCGACCGATAGCCTATTAATCAGGTTTTTGTCGCCGATGCTTACCGATCGATAGCCTATTAATCGGCTTTTTGTCGCCGACAATCTTTCTCATTATTTGAGCAGTAATTTGTCATTTAGTACTAAGGTACCACCTTGCTCGGTTGCGTTGCTTTGTAAGCTCGCACAATTTTATACCAATTTGAAAAACTTACCGTTCGCGACGAATCAAAAGAATGGTATTGAAGAGTTTAAACCGAAACAGAGTGGTTGTATCGCTAGCGGTCGGTAAAGTGTTAATCGTTGATACGATGGCAGATTTAATAAAAATTTACTCGCGGTTAATAACGAAGTAATTGCGTTAAATATTACCCAATATTGCGAAAACTAGTATACCATGTAACAATTAAAAAAAAATCGTTACGATGTTTACGTATTACATCCTTTCAGCTGCAAGATCTTGCGGTTAGATGCATACAGAGGAACGTTAGGAAGTGGATGTCCGTAAGAGAATGGCCCTGGTGGAGGTTATACGTGAAAGTTGCACCTTTATTGAATGTTCATAGAACAGAGGATCAATTGAAGGCGAAGACGGTGAGGATATGCCTTCTATTTTTACGTGTTGATCATTTTCCATCGTTACATGTGCAAGAGAGACGTTGAACGGTCCATAATACTCTATAGTTTTCATAATACGAAATGAAAGTACATTTTTTTTTTAAAAGAAGGTTACAAATTGTTTCAGTCTTTAAGATCACTGTTTATAAAAAGACGATCTCGTTGATATTGGACCGATGAAATTAACGAGTAATTGTGTCTCTTTGAACAGGAGGAGCTCGAGACTCTGAGAGCAAAGGTCGAAAGATTGGAGCAGGAGCGGAATCATTTGAAACACGATAATGATAGATTGGAAGCTAAGGTATGACCAAAGATTGTATACTTTTTATTTCGTTTTGCCATCTCTTAATTTTCTTTTTATTTTTACTAGAAACAATTTTTTTACGAACTTCTAATTCACGAAAGAATCTTGTTTGATTAAAATTCTTAATATGGTATTCAACGTTTAACTTTCAACATCAGAGGAAGATTAGGAATTTGAACGCTAACGACAAAGGCCTGTAACTCGTATCTCTCGTATCTACCTGTATTTTATACGAGAAAATCTTTTTTTAATGACACACGAAAATGATGTATCGTTTACTACAACTGACAAAGCGGAGTAGAATGGAAGATCTGCTCAAACGATTATCCTTTCTGTAACTTAAGAAGGTTCACTTAGATCATTTACCTACTTGATCGTACTAATGCAACTTCATCAAGTGTACCGTAGCAAATCGACACTCGACTAGAATTCGCATATTCAGAAGTACGAGGAAAGTTTATTAAGTAGCGTCGTTTGTCCGAGCACTTGTATCGTGCAATTGGGTTAACTGCGTGAGACGAAGCGTGCCGCTCTCGGCGCTCGTTTATCGCGTTATGAATCTGATCAGCGGAGCATCGCGCGAAGTACCGACCTCCGCCGCGCGTTGCTTTGCGCTCAAATAAAAGTTCCAGTGACCGACATTTCCTGCCTACTGGCCTGGTGTCGTATGAAAATTCCCCTCACGACCTTGGCATTGCTGTGTACTCCACGCCACCAGTCACCTGCGATGGTCGTTGCCGGTATTGTTCCGAGATTTCTAACCGGTTTCGTTTCGCTCGTTCGACCTTTCGATCCGCCGCCACTGGACTATTTCAACCGATCTATCGAACGATTTTCTACTTCCTGTCCGCCTCTGAGCTCGCCTCTTTTTGCTCTGTTTCCCTTGCCTCTCGTAGCGGTCCTCCGTCGACTTTTCTCGCGAAGACCTGCCGACAGATTTGGCTGCGATCCAAAATCATGGCCCGTGCTACCTACCGCGCTGCTCCTCGTCCGCTTTTCCATCTCGCTCGCACCCCGTCTCCCTTAGAATAACTCGGAGGTGACCGTCTCCACCAACAGACCACCGCCACCGGCCCGTGTATCGGCTGACCCAGGAAGAGTAGGCAGTTGCACCGCGACTCCTTCTCGATACGGGTGTCGACGTTGTTCGACTCGTTACGCAATTAAATGCTCGTGCCAGCCGATCCGATCAAATCGAAGCAGAAGACCCCGATCCACTAACGAACCTTACTATAGAGCAACCATGCAATTCGATCGCTGCTGGGCTGTATCTCGCGCGATTGTCTGTTGCTCTCGCTGCTGAAGATCCCGCGCGACCGGTTATTCCGCTGGGCAAGGCGGTCGATATCGATCAAAGTATCGTAAACAAAATTCTCTGACAGTCTGATCATCGATCTTATGAAACTGTACGAAGAATAGGAAACGTTCTCCGAGATTAAGGACGATGGTCCCATATGGCAAGAAATATCTTCCTTCTTACTATAACGAATTATAGTGTTGCACAAGTGTCTTGGAAAATTATGCTGTCGACACGAGATCAAAATTGAGTTGATTCAGGATAACATCACCAGGATGCCGTCACTTCCGACCACATACTCTGGCGCGATATCGCCCGTTTCGAACAGCTCGCAGACCTTCGAAGAGCCATTGACCGGTAAAATGATGACCGACAGAGTCAGCGATTCGGATGATACGATTACCGAGAATTCAGCAAGACCTATAGAACCGATGATATTTGCGAAGAGACCACCGTTGCCACCTTTTAGAAGACCAGCCAACAGATTGCACGCGTTAGCCACGACAAGAAGTCCATCGCCATGTAGCCTTTCATCTAGTCTGTCTTGTCGCTCGAGGTCAATGTCTGTGATGTCCTCGAGGCCTCGAACAAGCCTCGATTCACCAACCTTCTCTACTCCACCAAGAAGGATGTTTCCTATAGAAAGCAGGTCTTGTTTGGATTTAGAAGACGTGTCTGTAAAAGAACAGGCTCCTGTAGTATTCGACGCTAGTTTAAATTTCGTGTTAGGCTGCGACAAGCAAAAGGTCAGGCAGTCTTTTAGGCCAACAGCTTCTCACATGGAACCTTCGACAGCATCTTCGTATTTGTCATCCAAGATCTCGCAGTTTTTGAAAAGAACCGATCATATAATGGACGAGTGGCGAAGTCTGGGTCACAGAGATGACGCGGACAACGATTTAAATCTGCCGTCAATGAGTCGAGGTTACGAGAGACGCGGCATGGGTAGAAGCCAGAGCGCCACAAACATCATGATACGCGGTTATCAGTATTACAGCAGGTCGAATAGCATCGGGAAAAGTTCCAGGCGTTCCCTTTCCCGCGCCTCGGAAGACAGGACGATCTCCGACGGTGCCGGTCAGGAGGTATATTGCCTGTTTTGTATGCATTTGGAAAGTTCGTTTCGTTTCGTTGCTTTGCTCTACAGTTCTAGCTTTATTATTCATTGGCGATGTAAATTAATTCCGTCTTCGTCTTTCCGATCAAACTTCACAATTTATTTATGGCTCGCGTTAGGTCCTGTTATTTTCTCTAACGTCGGTCCTCTTTTCCATCTGGCGTTAGATCCTATCGTGAAAAGAAACCACGATGATATAAATCCGCTGATTTACGATTTATCTTATGGAATACTATACATAGCTTGGACCTAACGATTCTCGATTCCATGAATTGGAACAAAATTTGAACGAACAATTCATTTTGGATGCAATTCTTGTTCTGTGATAGTTGGATCATTGTCTGTCACGAGCTATACTCGTGTAATACACGTTATACTGTGTACAATTAATTTGATATATATATACTATAGTATTTTTTTCGCTCCTGGTTTTTCTAAACCTCGTATGTATCACGTAAATAACGCAGAAAGTAGGATAAATAAAAAAAAAAAAAAAAAACAATGGAGACTTCAAAATCAGATTAGGCAGATCAATTTTCTAAGTTGTTCTCCTTCACAACTCACGCGTAACCGATCAAGAGTGCCAGCTTTTCTAAACACTCTGCCTAGTACGTTCTTTATAAACATCTGGACACACGTTCGAACTCTCGTTTCCTTCGAATTGAACAGACACGAAGTCGGCAGAGCGTCTGACATAAAAGAAACGCCATTCAATCGCTTTTAGAGAAATAACACTATGCTGATCTGTGTTGAACCAGCCATCGGTACGCTATTACGTTCGCTTGTGTTTTCGGGTAACATTAGCTTTTGATACTATATTTAATAGGCAGCTCGGAAAATACGCCTCTAAATGTCACGTTAGTTTTAGAGCACAGGATGAAGTTGTAAATTCTGATGTGCGCCACTAGGAACCGTGTCATTTGATAAATGAAAGACTCTGAATCAGTGGTATATTGTTTGTGCGTTGATTTTGATGAACAAATGGACCAGTGAAGATCATCTTATTTAAATAGTGTCAAGTAAATGTTTTCGTTAGAATTGTTAGGATCAAGATGTGTATTTTCCTTTCTTAATGGGCGATAATAAATAATAAATGAATCGTCGACAGTGTATGTAAATTAATCCAATTAATGTTCATGATATTATCTGTACTACGCGATACTACATGTTGGTAGAGAGATTAAGACTATCCGTAAGCTAGAAGCGTTTGTAAATGAAACATAAATAATTTCTTATCTTGATTCTTATTGCAGCTGAGCGAAATGACTGCCGACTTTGCGGAAGAGCACTCAACATCGACGTTGGCGGCCGAAAGGATCGACGCTGAGACTTCGGAACGTCTACGACTGGAAAGAGAGCTGCAGGATGTGACCGAGGCGAACAAGAATCTGCAGCAAACGACTGAACGTTTGGAGATGGAACTTTTGTATGCGAGGGCCGCAGACTTAAACGGCGTAGTGTCCGATGCTGAAGATGGTGAAGACGGTGGCGTTTACAAGCAGAGATACGAACATGCTGTAAGGGAACTCGAGTTCACGAAGAGAAAAATGGCCCAGCAACATGAGGATGATCTTGAGCAGTTGGTTGGACTTAAGAAGCAATTGGAGAAGAAGGTAATTCGATCAAGACTTAATTTACACGAGCAACTAATAGAATAAGATAATAAAATCACATAAAGAAAGGATAAAATAAATATAAACAAATGTAATAAACTGGACAGCCTCGAAAACGAATACATTTTTTCTTCTTTTTCCAGCTTGTATCTACTTGTGTGCTAAATTATTAGGTTTGAATACTAAATTATTACGATAAAAATTAAAACCAAAAAAATAGCCACGTGGGATGATGTTAAACGTAACATATTTTTGCGTTCCAGTTAGCTGATGCTTACGAAGAGGTCGAGGAACAACGTCAGGTTGTTGGACAATGGAAACGACGCGTGCAAAAACTGAATGGCGAGATGCACGACTTGAGACTACTGTTGGAAGAACAGACAGCTAGGAATAATCTTCTGGAAAAGAAACAGCGCAAGTACGTGCTACTTCAAACTTTCACGTCGTCTTTTTTTATTCGCTATTTCAATAGCGTTTCGCATTTGTTTCATCTTGGCTATGTAGAAAGTATTTTTGGAAACTTTTGCGTAAACGATACTGTACTAGTAGCGTAGATTCAGAGGATGTTCTAATTCTGTTATACCAGATTTAAGAGAAGATTTTTGAAGGTATTGAATTGAAAATGATCTTTCTCTAAATTAAAGTCGATTATTAAGTTAACATGGAATTATTTCTAACACAAATCAGTGTATCTTATATCCATTAAAGTTTCATCAAAATAGTTCAAATCGTTACGGTTTGTAATTTGATATAAAAGACACTTGAATTCATAATAGCACATTTTACGCAATTTCCTTTGGAAAACACGAATAGAATGAAATAAAATAAATAGTATCTTTCATACTTCAAGAAATCATCGCCTTGATTGTACTGATAAAATACGGTAACATAGATTGTTCGCTTCTACAATTTTGGCTGAAAATTCTTGAAAGAACGATCGGTATATTCATTCACAAGAAAAAGTTTTTACTGGCGGCACAATTCTCGGTTACACGTTAAATTTGTCGAATTTCTACGCTATCGAGGGATGCTCTATTCTGATTTCGTTCGCGGCAACAAGTGTTTCTGGCAATTGTCCAGCTCGGTAATTTTGCGCGGCCAACATCAGCCACTGGTTGGAGGTTCGTTGGGTGCATAAACCGTGATTGACTGCTCCAAATATAGGTCTTGTGATCGCCCGGAAACTAGAATTTTGTCGCTACTATGGAAAAGAGATGTGCCATTCAGTCATGTTTCATGAATCAATTGTTACAATACTATATGTACATTAAAATTTAAATTGCATCTTTCCCCCTCCAATTTTCTTGGTCTTTTTTTCAATATTCAATACCTTTGTACCCTCGTTCTTCTATAAAAATTCCGACGATATATTCTATAAATATTTTTTTTTTAATTCTTTAGATTCGATTCAGAAACTCAGAATTTAATGAACGATCTACGGCAAGAGAAAGCGCAACGTGAAAGATTAGCTAGAGAAAAAGAAATCGCGATCGCGGAGAAGTTTACCATAGAACAGAACCTTAGTGTAAGTATATTAATCTAAAATATTTCTATTTATCGAATTTAATGCTTTTTTAATTCCACTCTTTGTTTCTTATTCGTAACTATATTCTCGTGGCTTACTTTTCAACGTAGGACGCAAGATTGGAAATCGAATTGAAGGAAGAAAGATTGCGGACATTGGGCCAAGAGCTTGAGGAATTAACATTTGGTGGCAAAACGGAGGAGGAAGTAGCACAGCTGAAGAAAGCGAAGCATGAGCTGGAGAAGAGAGTAAAGGATCAGGAAGAAGAGTTGGACGACTTAGCTGGCCAGGTGCAGTTGCTCGAGCAGGCGAAGTTAAGGCTCGAGATGAGCATCGAGCAACAACGCAAGGAAATACGCAAAGAGATGCAGCAGAGGGACGAGGAGTTAGAAGACGTACGTGGTAACGCTCTGAAAAAGGTGAAAGCTCTAGAGTCGCAGTTGGAGAACGAGCACGAAGAGAGGACGATATTGCTTCGAGAGAAGCATGAATTGGAACGTCGTTTGGTAGCTATCGAAGAACAGGATCGTGCTGAACGTGCGGCAGAAGCTGATACCATGCATAGGTATATTATGCGTTAAATGCGTTATGCGTAATGCTTGATTTTATAGTCGTATATGGGAAGACAGTAGATTCTTCGAAGAATATTTGACATGTCAATTCGTGAACTCTTTAATTTTATATTTTATACTTTATATTATATATTTTATAGGCTAAAAAGAGATTTGAAGAGAACCAAAGCATTGCTAAGAGACGCTCAAACGATGCTGGAGAGATCGAAAGGTGACTCGACGGGTAAAGCAGCTTTACGACAGCTGAAGAACCAGTTAGAAGATGCAGAATGCGCTAGAGCAGTTGCAGTTAAAGCGAAACAGGCACTGGAGCAAGAACTGAATGAGACGCAGGCTTCGTTGGAGGAAGCACTGCGGCAACGTTCCGAAGCAGAAGATCGTGCTAATGTAGCTAGTCGCGAACGAACTGAGCTACTGTCGCAATTGGAAGAAAATGAAGAAGAGTTGGCAGAAGTGTGTTTCGTATTTAATTTACAAATATTATCTATAGCGATATGTAATAAATAATTAACAATTAACAATTAATTCCAAAGGTTTTGAAGAAGTATCGGGCGGCTGTGCAGCAAGTGTCCGCGGAGCAGGGCCAATTGCAGGAAGCGCAAGTGCAGATTGCTGCTCTGGAGGCAGAGAAATCTGCGTTGAAGGATCAACTTTCAGAGCTGACGCAACGGCTTGAATCCGTTGAGCAGCTTGGCGATCCCACTGCGAACAGTCTCGCTACTCGACGACTCGAGTTTCGTGCTAAGGAACTCGAAAGTAAGCTCGAATTGGAGCAAACGACAAGAGCGCGCTTGGAAGTAAGTTACTTCCCATTTGTTTAAATCAAGGGTTTGACATTTTGATGTTTTAAGAATTATTCATGACATTCTGAATTGTATTTCGTTATAGACTCAAATAGCTAGATTGAAAGAAAACGTAGAGAAACTACAAACTGAGACTGCGTTACTTCGAACAAAGGAACAGAGTGCCCAAGATGCCTCGAGAAGATTGCAAAGGTCGTTACGCGAAACAAGAGAAGAAGCCAGTTCGGCACTAGCGCGTGAACAAGAGTCCACGCGTGCTCGTCGCGAATTGGAAAAATCTCTTGAGGCTGCTGAAGCGGAGACCAAAGTCGCTAGAGACGATCTCAGGTTGGCGCTTCAACGAATTGATGATCTACAGAGCGCCATACAGGGTGAACTTGATTTAGATTGCAGCGAGGAAGGGACAACCGAAAACAGCGATAGGTATTTATTAATTGTTTAACTTATAATTAGTAATTAAGTCATGTAGTATTTTACTGTAATACATGATTAGTGAATTGTAAATACTTATGTATAAATGCTACATTTATACAATATATGTATAAAAATATATAAAAATCATATTTCGTATTTATAAACAATTTTCTCTTCTAGTGATTGATGCGAACAGTTGTCGGATCTCGAATCCGACGGAAGCAAAGATAAGGAACCTACTGATCAACGTATAGCTGAAAGAATTACTGACGAATCGCCGCTTGTTGAGTCATCGATGGATAATTGTTAATTCACAAGGCTGAAAGGAGAACAACAAAGACAGAAAATCAACAAAAATGATAACAAAAGAAAAATGAAAACATACAAACAGTTCAAAATCGCTAGACTTAGTTTCTTACTATTAACGTCGTCACCACTGTCGGTCACATTCAACATTAGCGACAGCGAATCAAAATTGAAGGATATCAATCAAATCACTAATTATATATATAAGGACCTTATCTCACGCTAGAGTAAAATTTTTAAACAAAAACTGAAGAGTAACGAGTGAAATCCATCGATTTGTACGATTACAGTTAGCATAATTTCACTCGTGACTCTTTTCTCAACATAATCGAAAAAAATGACAAGCTCGTAGGTGGTGCTAATTTCAAATCCCAAAAAACGTGTTGATGTCGTGGCTATTTGTATTCTGCTTCTTACTACGTGTCTTTGGTGCTATATTATCCGACAGTAGATTTTGTCGACGGAGTACATTGTTGTTCCAGTCTTCCAAGGGGAAAAATCGAGCTTCTCGATGCAGTGATGTCGAGATGTAAAAACACGTCCATGTGCACAATTATCAATGCCTTTCCAACGGCCCAAAGTTCAAACGTGCAACGTATCATGGAAAACGAAATATCAAAGCCTTACTTCTTCAGAAAGCATTTTACGCTTTTTTAACACTTCGCTATACCTAGCCGATAACGTTGGCTACACAGTTTGTATTATAAAACGCGAGCTGCGCGCCGCGACTCAGTTTTTTGGTTTCTTATATAAGGATTCATATGTAACTTATTGCTTTGTAAAATGCAGATATCTTATTTAATTAGTTCGTGCGTTTTTACTTCTCCTTGTCTTCCAAATCCTCTCAGCTTATTAAAATATAATGGTGGACAAAAGAAAGGATAGCAAGAAAAGGAGCCAAATTAGTGTAATAAAATGTTATAATAATATTATGTGTGAACTCATCTTAATTAGAAAAGTTTTGAGCATTATACTGAAATTTTTATTAACAAAAGATACAAAAAAAGAAAAAACCTTTTCATAAGAACTTTGAGAACGAAATCGCGATTACTGTGACTGATGGTGGGTATCGCGAACGTTATCCACACAAATAAATTTTTACTTTGAAATTTTTTAAACAAAATTTTTTTAAAAATTCGCAAGAATATTTAAAATTTATTATGCGACTTATAAAGCATTTACACGTAATTTGAAAGTTGATGTTAGAACAAATTATATGTTAAATTAATTAAATTAAATGTTACATATAATCTTATGTATTAATTCATTTTGTAATTTTAAAAGTTACACAAGAAGTGGTATAGTTATAGTGTACTGTATTTGTCAAAATAATCAGATATGGTGGCTATGAAGTATTATAATTTAGATAAAAAGTATTGCATCAATTTAACCTTTTTTCGCGCCCTCTGTGATGATAATCGAGGTTGAACTACATTTTACCAGAAATGAGTTGGGAGATCGCCGATGCAATGTTAAAAAAGTCAGCCAAAAAATGCGTGCTGAGAATGGGGGATCTGAAATCCCCCAATATGGGGGATAAAACTGAAATCAGAAAATAGATAAGAGTACGTGAGATTTAAAAAATAGTGATATAAAAAACAAAGATCGCAAAATAGCTTTCGAAAATTCCGAGGCACAACGTCATTTCCAAGAAACGCCGAAATCGTGCCACCTGATTGATACAAAATCGTTATTTTAGAGGATACATTTTTTGCTCTCGGATTTTCTCAGAAAATGTCATCGTTTCCAGGAATTTCAGAAAGTTTCAAATATCTCTAATGCTATTATATTGTCTTGATGCTTACTATTTTTCTAGCAGTTTCAAAACACAGGAAGAAATGTGCATATAGTTCGGTCGTTTGACCGCTAGAGGCGGTAATTCGTGGAGCGTACCTTTTGGCTGAACTTTTCTCATTCACATCGGCGTCCTTCCTTACTCACCTCTGATTCTACATAAACGTCAATAAATTAAAGTATCTTGCATAATGTTCTTACAATAGTAATTTATGGATTTGAAACGACATTCAAAGTTTATTTGCTCATGTTTTTGTTAATCACTTCATAGACAAGTAGTAACATTAAAAAATAGGTATGTAATTTATAAATACTTTTAATAAGGAAGCACAGGTAGGATTTCGATAGTTATTTTAGTCATTGAACCGTAGTGACAATTGCAGTTGCAGAACTCTGTTTATGACGATTCATGCAATATAATCATTGTTTATTATAACATATTAATTGGTTTAGAGAGCTATTTAACTTCTCCATTCATAGCTTTCTAGGTTATAGTTGTTGATATTTTTATGTTCGATTTAAATGACTTTCTAACGCACTTACTTTATTTACGAAATATATAAACAAATAAACCCTAATAAATTCACATAAATAAATGAATTTTATTATTATATCATACATTATCTAGTTATAACACTATTTATTTAATAAAAAATAACTGTTAATACGAAAAATATATAATATAAATAATTGTTTCAGGAATTATATATATATATATTAAAATTTTAAAAATAATTTTATCAACATGATCTTGACATTTCTTTATATGATAGCAACATCAATCCAGTCAAGGAGGATTGTATTTTTAAAAAATCATTTACGTAATTTATTTCAAGGAGATACAACCACTTGCCCATCAATAATGTTTTATAATAAAAAACAAAGTTCAAATAAAGGTAATATATTAATATTTACATTTGGTAACATTACAAATTGTTAATAAATTATGCAGTTTTAATATAGTTTAAAGATTACCTACATTTCTAAACTATAAAATAAGATTATATAAATTATTAAATTTTTGGTATATAAATTTTTAGTATATCACTGGTTATTCATAATAGTTATCCAATTGTTTACCATTTATTTTTATTATATATCTTGATGTTACACATATATCTTGCATAGATGTAAATGAAGATATCTTATTAAATAATACTGATATTGTTCATGTAAATCGTATTACAATTACTTTTTTAGAACTTTTTCAAAGACCGGTATAAAATAAAAATATATTGACTCATATATATACATTCCTGATGTATTTGCATTAACTAGACATGCACCTTATATTATCTATTATTTTTATTAGTTTAATATTTCCTTATATTAACTTATGTTATAAAAATATTACAATACTTTGAAAAATAATTACACAATGACTTTAAATCATTATATGAAAAAGCTGTAATAAATGTAGGAAAACCAAAAATGTATATGTATAGTGCAGAAAATATTTACAATGTTATAGTATCTGATTTGTACTTATTTCGTGCTTTTTATTTTGATTCAAAATAAAATTCTTAAAAGCAATACTTTGCAAATGTGATATAAATTGTATAACTTTAAATTATATAAATATAGCTATCAAGTACTATTATATCATTTCATCTATGTTTTATAAGCATACGGTATTGAGATTTGTTAATTAATCTGTAGTCATTATACAATAAAAAGAATAACTAGGAAATTAGTAAGTAATAAAGTTTTTATATTAAACCATTGAGCTTTATATTATATCTTCTATATAAGTTTTATGTATATGCATATAAATAATGTATTGTTATTATATTAATATGATTTGTAGCGTTTTAAAAATGTTTTAGTTGTATTAAATAAGAGATATTATTTATTTTTGTTGCATAATTTTGTGGAATATAGTTTATAAATAAATCAGAAAGTTTTATACATACACATCGTCCATTATATTTTGTAGATGATAATAATTATTTCTTGCTTTCATTTTTTCAGACCTAGGTGTTAATTGAATATTGTATTTATATATGTATGTAAATTTATATTGTTGCACAAAACAAAACTTATGTACAAATATCATTTGCCTTTCGATTGATTTTGTAAGTTTATTATCTATTTAACATTACACACATATTATGTTATTATTATAATAATCACTAATATATAACAGTGTTTAAAACTAATAAAATCCTGCTAGTACTTGCATTTCCTTTTTGTGTTTTATTTGCATTCAGATGTGAATTGTTATGTATACCACATTATATAGCAAATTTATGTTGCGACACAATTAGTGATTCATTTTATGTTACATTTTATTTTTATTATAATACATATTTCATTTTGATCCAGACCCTTAATACATTTATATATATGCTACATGTACATGCATATATAATTTGAAAACCTACTAAAAGATTTTTCAGTATAATGGATAATGAAATATTTTTTATTATTTTAAGAATCAAATTCTCCTATGAATGATTGTGAAAATGATGAATTTATGACTTCTTGTCTATGTGTGAATAAACGTGATGCTAGACTAGAAGAATTACTATGGTACTATGATGATATGAGATTGTGCACTATATTTCCACAAGTATGCATCAAGCAATAATACCATAAATAGACTTTATTGTAGTTGGTTAAATATAATTAATCATTGGGTTAATTACTACTTTCACCAGCAAAAAGTTGACATCTCAAGTTGGTTAACGTATCAGTATGGAAAAACATTTTTTCCTTTGCATACAAATAATCGCAATGGAACTTTGTTACAATCAGAGTACAAACTTTATATTCTTGTTGAAGCTGATCTTAAAAGTTATAATCCTATTGCTGCAACACATGCTACTAAGGTACTATATCTATTTATTCTCCTCATTTTTTCCATTTTGAATGTGATTATTTTGTATGAAGGGAATATGATATTAGTAGTTTATTGTTTAAAAAATAAAGAGAATAAACATATTATTTGAAAGTTTGTGTCTATTGAAATGAATATAAATAGACATGATATTTTATGATCTGACTATCTAACAAAGCTTATGTAAATTTTTTACACGTAAAAACATTCCCACACTATATACGTATAAAAATGTTTATTTAAGAAGCTAGCACTGCGTTTAAATATGTTGTGTCTTTTAGGTCGAGGATTACGGTTTAATTATTACGTGGACGGCAAATAAAAATATTGATTTAATTATAGAGTCCGATTTAGATATGGTTGCAAAATTTCTTATTGCAGCAATGGAAGGTCAATGTTACATTAATAATGGCTTGTTATTGAAACGAATAGAAAGTATGTATAGATTTCAACCCTGTTTACTAAAATATCCGGATTATAATAGCTTTATATTTTTCCAGCTGTCCTGATATCAGGAAAGCCTTGTCTTTACAATAGTGATGTGTTGAATTCACCACCAACTAAAAGTAAGAATTTTATGTAATTAATACTATTAATAGAAGTTTTACGAAATGTAAGAAATTTAAAATATAAAAATCGAAATTTTTTGGTGGATGAATTATCAGGCATTTGATATTGTTACTTTAATCTATTTTCAGTTGAAAGCATAAAGCATTTATCAGGGATTACTACATGTAGTTATTGTATGTACTTAGTTAATGTATCATTGTGGATAATAAGTCACAATCAAGCAATGTGATCTTAATTTATCTAAAATAATATATATACATGTAAATGTATAAGTGGAGGATAGAATTCATGATCATCGAGTCTGCCAGTAGGATTTCTGGCATACTGTTTTCTGCTTGTAGTAAAACTGAGAACAGCTTACTGCATTCAAGTTCATAATTTAAGGAATATGTAATCTTTACTAATGCTGCTTCAAAGTCTTTTATCTTCTTTTCTTAACTGTGAAGAAATATATTCTCATTATTTTAATATACCTGACGACTTTTGCAATCTTATACAACAATTCTTAATTATGTAATAGGTTTTCAAAAATAGGAAACAACTTGCTCTTAATTGAAAAATGGCAATGATTATCCAATAGGCTATGAATTTCTATATATCAC